GTTTCTCAGGAGACAGGTAAGGTGGTCTGGTATTCCCATGTCTTTAAGTATTTTCCACAGTTTGTTGTGATCCAGGTGGTCAAAAGCTTTAGTATAGTCAATGAAGCGGAAGTAGGTGTTTTTCTGGAGTTCTCTTGCTTTTTCTATGATCCAAATAATTGAATCATATTAATTAATTATTAAAATTAAATTTGAAAAAGGAGAGGGGGAGGGAAACCATTAGGGTACATTCACATTTAAGTTTCTCTATATGCCCTTTGATAGTTGTATTTTATGATTTTATTTATAACTCCTAGCTGAAAATCAAGCCTTGTTACTTTGACCTGATTTGGGTAATTTGAAAACCAGAATCTAGACAGATGTACATGCAATGTTTTAATTACCATAGTTTAAAATTTTGAGCGAGATGGGCTGCAGTATTAATATAGGTAGTGCCCAGCTCATGGGCAAGCTATGCTATAAAAGTTTCTCTTCTACTGTATACTTAAAACTGATAAAGATAGTAAATTTTATGTTATGTGGGCAAGAATACTGGGTTGCTATTTCCTTTTCCAGGGAGATCTTCCTTACCCAGGGATCGAATCCACATCTCCTGCATTGGTAGGCAGATTCTTTACCACCCAGCCACCAGGAAAGCCCATACATTCCTTAATTGCTTATTAAAAATATGTGCGCATTTAGTTAGGATTCTTTCCCATAGTTAGAAATATTCTGTTTAAATTTGCAAATATTTCTTTTTATGTTGAAGGGAAGATTTTTATGTTGCTAATAAAAATGTAACAATATTTCTTTTAAAAATATTCTTCCAGATTACCAAATAAGTGCCAACTGCCTTCTTTAGGTATAAGGTGCTGGGTACATGCTGAGTGAGAAGAGAGCATGAGAGGGCCCTCAAAGGTGCACTCTAGTAATACAGACCACTCATAAGCTTGCAGAAAGCCCTGGCAGAGAGAAGACAGGCAGTCTTCAGACATCCTACAGACATCATCTGCTGTTGGTGATAGAGACTGCGGTCTTAGCACCCTGATGTCTGTGGGACTTTATGGAGGAGACCAGGTTGAGAGAGTGAGTCAGAAACTGGATAAGCAGAAAGAAACAGTCCAAAGGTAGGCCAGTGAACAGACACTTGAGATGAACATGATGTTTGCTTGTTTAATGAAGTGTTCTAAAGCAAACAGAGGGGACAAGCAGGGAACTGCAGGGAGCAGTGAAGTTGTGAAGATCATCAGGAAGTTGGGGCTTTATTTGGGAAATACTGGTTTTGGAGTATAAAGTGACATCCTAAACATGACACAAAAATCTGTTACTCACCCACCCTCCCTTCTTCCCTTTTCTTGGTTCACTCAACAAATATGTTTTTACCACTTCCTTTGTGAAAATCACTGATACAAGAAAATTAACCTGACCATAAAGTACAAAAGATAGGCAGAAGCAAATGTGAAGCACAAAGTCCAGACAGCCTGAAACAGTGATCCAGGATTGTGGTCATGTTACTGGATTGATCAAAGGGCTAATGTTTTTTTAAACACTTAAGAGTACATGCCAAATATTTTATAATAACTATAAATGGAAAATAACCATTAAAAATTGTGAATCACTATATTGTATAACTATAATTTAAATAATGTTATGCATTATTTAAATTGTTATGCACTTCAATAGCAAATAAAGTATGTATATTATATTGAGAAAAGAAACATATGTCAGATACAGTTAAATGCTTATGTATGTTATGTGTTATCCTCGAAACCCTATAGATACTTTTATTATCCCAGTTTACCAGTGAGGAAACTGAGGCTTAGCAAGGTTAATTGATATAGTCACACAGCAAATAATAGTATAAATATCATTTGTTTAGCAGATTAAAGTTTGTAAACATTTCTTTTGGCCCTCTTTTGTTTGATCCTCTGCCTTTGTGTTAGGCCTCCTACATACCTTTATTCTCATTTTTTATTTTACATAAACACAGAAGAACATAGAGAAACTTGCCTGGGCAGTCATTCATCAGATAGTAAGCACCTACTGTGTGGCAGGCATTTTTTCTTGGCCTTGGGGCCATGGTGATAGACAGGATAGATCAAGTTGCCTGACATCAGGGAGTTGTTTTCTGGTAGGGATGAATAACAGTGAATATATAAGTAAATAAAATCAAGTCATTTCTAGAAATGACAAGTACTGTTAAGCAGACAAATAAGGTAATAGAGGAGGACTGCCATGGTAGAACATGAAGGCCTTTCTAAGGAAGGGATGATAGTTGAGACCTGCATAACAAGAGGACCTCATGCAACAGTCTAAAGGAAAAGCATTCCAAGCAAGAGTGCAACAAGAGCAGAGGCCCTGTGATAGGAACATAGTTGGCATGTTCAAGGAACAGAGAGACCCCAATGTGACCAAAATGTGGTGAAGAAGAGAAGAGAATGAGAAAATAGTAGGCTGGAGCTAGATTATGTAAGGACTTGTAGGCTGTTGTGAGCAGCTTGGTTCTTATTCGGTGAACAGTGGGAATTCAGTGGAGAGTTTTAAATAGGGTGTCTGTGTGTATGCATGTGGGGGATGGTGGTGGGAGAGGGTGAGATCGTCTAATTTGCACCAGTTTTGTCACCAAAATCCCGTAACCCTTCCCTTATAAATTACCTTCATTTGATAAAGTAATTGATAAAATACCTTAATCTTCTCTTTTCATTTTTTTAATAATTTTTTTTTTTGGCTGCATCAGGTCTTAGTTGCTCAGGCTTACTAACTGTGGCTTGCTTGGCTAGTTGCTCTGTACCATGTAGGATCTTATTAATGGATCTTAACCAGGGATCGAACCCACATCTCCTGCATTGGAAGGCAGATTCTCAACCACTGGACCACCAGGAAGTCCCATCTCTCTCCATTTTTATAGCAATATTCAGGATTGAAAAGTAACAATGCCAACAGTAACAATCACTTTAGGACATTGTATGTTCTATGCGAGAGGAGTCACTGAGTATGGATGCGTGCATGCTGAGTTGCACAGTCGTGTCCGACCCTTTGAGACACGATGGACTGTAGCCCGCCAGGTTCTCCTGTCCATAGAATTGTCCAGGCAGGAATACTGGAATGGGTTGCTATTTCCTACTCTGTGGCAGATAGATTCTTTACCTCTGTGCCACCTTGGAGCCCTTCAAATATGTGTGTGTGTGTGTGTGTGTGTATTCTTCCATACTTTGTGAACCTAAAAGCAGAAAGTATTATAATATTATGAAGAATAATACCATTCAGAAATAGGATGTGTTAATTACTATCAGGAAGTTTTCAGAGAGACTTCATTGGTTTAGACAACAATTTTGGTGATTTGAAAAAAATTATGAAAATATATAGAGAAAAGTAGTTCCAACTTTGTCACTGAACAGAAGAGAATTGTCGTGGTGGGACTGGCCATGTAAAATTCTGTGAAAAGAAATGGGGTGAAGGGTCCTACTTGGGCTAGGGTTAAAAACCTAAGCTCATTATGGTAGGCAGTTTGTGAATTGGAAGTTTCCGAAATGCTGTTTTCACAAAAGAAGTGCTCTTCACCCGTCAAATAGTTCCCTAACCGTTACTCTGATTCAACATGTTGTAGTAGGCATTTTAGATCTGAGTGCTCTGTCATGCAAATAGAAATAACATTGTCCTAAACAGGGCTGTGATTCTAAAATAAGATACCGATTTGCCAATTAGGATCTACAAGCTACCTTTTTTATATTTGGAATAATGTCTGTATTCTAATAGATGTATTCACTTGCTTTTTATTTAAAAACTCTAATTGTCCTCAAGATCGTGGCCCACTGTAAGTTTACTTCTCCTTTTGATGAATAAATTTCATCTAAGAAAAATAAATTTTAATGTTTTCATTTGTTAGAAATCTTAAGACTCTGAATAATTATTTTTTCTCATCTTTTTGAGTAACATCAACTTTTAAAGTTGTTATCAAATAAAAATAGAATTTATAGCATTTTTTAATGTGTATTTATTTTTGTGGGGTTCTTCCATCATATTTTCTCTCATCTGTTCCTTTAAATCACATTGAGGACTGCCTGAAATGGCATTTTCATGATGATTCTGAGAACCATCCTTCTACTGTATGTTATTTACTGCTGATATATGTATTCTGGTGTTTCTTGCCTTCTACCATACATAAATTCTAGTGGCATATTGAATACCATAGAGAGGAGCTGACTGATGGTAAATCACAAACATTTTACAGCATCCTATTGAGAATGTTGGATTCATTACTATAAAGAAATTATGTTTGATCAGTATTTTCAGAGCCTCCTAATACTGTAGTTTATTGGTGCTTAATGTTAATTGTATACAAGTTCAAAATTGGGTTCATTTTAACAATGCATAATATATGCTACAGTGAATCTTTTCCACACAAAAAAGAATAGTAAATGTCCAACACTATGTTTGATTAGAACTATTAAGCCCAACAGCTTGTATTTAACATACACAGTGTTAATTATATAGTCAACTGGGTAGTTCATTCTCTACTGTAGAAGCTGTACATTAGAATAAAGCTATTTTGATGTATAAGGTGCCCAAGGAAAACTGGCTAACAAAAAAGGGAAAAGCTTTTTATGGTGAAGATGTCGAATGAAAAATTTTAACTCACAGTCACTTTTTTTAGAGAATATGTAAGTTGGGTTTTTATTTTTAGTTCCTACTTTTCCCTTCATAGTTAAATGATGGAAAATGACTCTCAGTCCCTAAACTACTCTTATGCATCATTCACAATAGCCCTGAAAGTCTAGCCCCTCTGGCAGTGGTGAGATTTATGGCTTTCCACTCCTTGGTATTCCATTACTCTGTCTACACCATCAAACTGATTAGTAGGCAAATGGAGAACAAGGAAGGAGAGGCGACTGCTTAGAGCCAGCTGGTGTCCCTCATTTTAATGAACTGCTTAGAGATGGTTAATGTTGTCCTTGGTTCTCATTATTGTCAGTGGTGATCAGATCTTTTAAAATGTTCCCCCCTCTTATTCTGTATTACAGGGTCCACTGGAAAATGATCTGGTTGTTTATGTAGCACTCATAGCAGAAAGCCAACGGTATGAAATCCAGATGGGCGGTATGTTCTTTTGACAGAGAGGGAAGGGGGTTGATTGCTTTAGGCTTATAATATTGTGTATAGTGGTAGAAATTAGTTTCATAGACCCCTTGACAGGGTTTCCAGGATGTCACTGATGTCACTTTAAGTGTCAGAACAACATTCTTTTCATTTTTGAAAACAATTTTGTTTTAGTTGGTGCAAGTATTAAAGTCTGTGACCTGTGCCAGTGTTGGCCAGCATGTAGTTTTGAGAAATTACTGCAAACAGATTGTGGGGATCATCCCCCGAGTTAGTACTTACCTCACTGCCAGCCACCAGAGCTCACATCTGATGCTCTGTGAAGATACCCGCACCGGCCCCCAAAGAGGGCCTGTGGATTTCAGTGCAGATGACATATTGGTGATACTTAACAAATGATAATCCGTTCCCAGCTAGCAGTCTCTCACCTTTTCTCCTCCCCCTTCATCATTGTTTTTAATAAATGCAATATCTTTTTTTCCTTTTGTTTTCTAGCCTCCAAGTTTTCCTCAACACATATGGTATTCAGACTCAGACTCCTCAACAGGTGGAACCCATTCAGATCTGGGCCCAGCAGGAGCTGGTGAAAGTAAGTGATGCTGCTTCTTTACTGTCTCCCTTGTGGAGGTACTAGAGCATGATGATTACTTAGTTTACAGTTAAGAAACATAGCTAAAATCCAATTCTAAAATAAGGTCATTGATCCAAAAGTTTTTTATTAAGTTGAGAAACCCACTTTATCAAACATTGTTACTAAAAAGCAACTGCCTTGTGTGTGTGCATTATATTCATAGGTCTTGTTGATTTCCACTCCTTGCTAAAGTGTTGTGTTGTTACTAACCTGGACTGACCAATTAAATAACGAATTAGCATTAGTATTAGTAGTGGTGTATCAAATTAACCTTTACATTTGCTTGATTTTCCCTTCAACTATTAAAGAAATGTTCTCACCTAAATATTGTTGGTAATAACTACTGCTATTTTTCTCTTGCCTTATTCTTTGGAGTCTGAAGTGATTCCTATCTTCTTTGGTTTGCTAGTTCTCAATATAATTATAAAGTGACAAGTGAATTTATCTTTGATACAGTTACATGCCTATTGGATTGAATTAAAAGTGGTGACTTTTGAGGCCTTTTGCATGCACTGCTCAAGATGTACCCAGGAGTGCCTGAGTTTAGAAATATTCCTGCTCATTAGGGACAGGAAATTTTTGATCTCCACTAATTATTTAATAAACCATTGTTTTTATTTGGTAATTGTTAAAAGCTATACAGGAAAATTTCTGCAGTCTTTGGTGAAGTGTTTGGTTTATGTAAATGTTTTTGATTAAAGCCTTGACTTTACAAAAAGAATAAAAGCTTAGAGAAGTGAGGTGCACATTGCAGGGAAAATGCAAGACCCCGGTGTTGTTGCTAATCAGACTGGACCTTACCCATTGGCCACAAAACCAGAGGTAACCCAGAGCACCAGCTCTTCAAAAGTCCTTAACAAATTTAGAGTTTTTCTGCCCTAATTAAAGAGATATGGCTGAAAATGCAAGGAATCCTAGAGGAGGTAACACTTTAAAATCACACCAAGAAATAAAAGGTGGAAAGCTCTGTTTTGTGGTAGAAGAGGCTAAATGAGTCCAAGAGGAAAGTAAGTATCCCCTAGGTAAGGAGAGGAGGCAGCATGGAAGGTCTGAAAATCCAAGACTGTAACACTGTGCACTTATCATGCATGTACAGGCTATATTTGCTGATACACTTTTAAGGTCTCTCACTGAAAGCTCCAGAGAATGGTAACAAAGGTTATTATTCTTTGATAAACATGCTTTCAAAGCAAATTAACCTGAATCTGTTTTTTCAGGCCTAATTTTTATCAGCAACTCTTTCTATTAGACTCTGTACCCTACCAGACAACATGCAGTCGAGATTTAAAGACCAGCATGGCTCCAGATGACGTGACCGTGGCGTTTTACTCCTTCATTAGCAACACCTGCTCTGTGCAGAGCGCTGTGTGGGGCCCGCGGACAAAAGGACCCTGCCCGTGTCCCAGTCAGTGACCTCTGGATCTCACGACATGACAGAAAAAAACTTGTTAGTGATAATCCATTTTGATCAGTTCTATGATAGTACAAGGTGCTCAGGAATCACAGATGTGGTAGAAAGCATTCTGTTACAAAGTGAAGACTTACTGGGTTGGCCAAAAAGTTTCTTTGATTTTTTAAGTAAACATAGAAGACACATTTTTCATTTTCACCAAGAACTTTATTAAACAACATAGTCACCATTTTGTTCTACTACCTTCTGCCATTTTTCAGGCAGCTTCATAATTCTCTCTTCCCAAAACTTTTTATCTTTTTGAGCAAAGAACTCTTCCAGGTACCTTTTACAGTCTTCCAGGGAATTGAAATTATTTCCATTAACAGAATTTTTAAAGACAAAAATGAATGGAAATCTGAAGGTGCAGTGTCACAACTACAGCAAATCATAATTTCCCAGCCAAGTTGTAGTAGTTTTTACCTGGTCATCAAAAAGGCATGCAGTCTTCCATTATCCTGATGAAAGAGTATGCATTTTCTTTTGACTAATTCTGGATGCTTTTTGTGGAGTGCTGCTTTCAGTTTGTTTTATTGGGATTAGTATTTGTTGGAATTAATTATTTGGTTTTCCTGAAGGAGCTCGTATAGAGGACTCCCTTCCAAACCACATACATAGCATAACCTTCTTTGGATGAAAGCTGACCTTTGGTGCGGCTGGTGGTGGTTTTATTTTGCTTGCTCCACAGTCTCTTCCCTTCCACATTATTGTACAGTTTTATCCACTTTTCATTGTCTGTCACAATTTGTTTTAAAAACAGAACATTTTTGTTACATTTAAGTAGAGAATCACGTGTGGAAATACTCAAGAAGATTTTTCTTTTGCTTAACTTACATGGAACCCAAACATCAAAATGATTAACATAACCAAGCTGGTGCAAATGATTTTCAGTGTTTGATTTAGATATTTTGAGTATGTTGGCTCTCTCCTGTGTGGTATAACACTGTTCTCAGTTGATGTCTCAATTTGATTGCTCTCAACTTCAACTAGTCTACCCAACCATGGAGCATCATCCAGTGAAAGTCTCTAGCATGAAACTTCACAAACCACTTTTGACACATTCAGTCAATCACAGCACCTTCTCTATACACTGCACAAACATTGTCTTGCATTTCGGTTGTGTTTTTACTTTTCTTGCAATAATAAAGGGTAATGGCTGAAAATGTTGCTTTTTTTTTTCCTTCCATCTTCAATATTAAAATGGCTATACAAATATTTACCTGTTTACTAAGTGTTTTTTTTTTTTTAATGCACACTGATATGACAGCTGTCACAATCTAACAATTGTTTTGAGTAAAGTTAAAGACAACTAAGTGCTACTAGAGTCATCTTACAGAAAAATTGAACAAAAGTTTTGGCCAACCCAAGAGAATGAAGTATTTCTGTGTTTCTGGGTGGTTTTGTCCCTACCGTATGTTTCAGTGCATTAAATCGTGTGAATATACATAACATAAGGACAGTATTATCTGCCTCCTGTAATACAAGGAGCAGTCTGCATCTAATTGTCATAGACCTTCTGTGGTTCAGGAAGTTAAGGAAACTGCTTTTAATGTAATGGAGTAGTATTTAAAGATTACCTTTCTACCTCGATAAATACAAGGGAAGGGCATCTCCATCTAGTGCTCTGCCTTGCAGTTTCAGTGCACCCTATACAATAAAATGCTTTATAGAGAACTTTTTCTGTCTAGTTGGCTTTGTCTAAAACTACTGCTATTCCAGAATTAACATGTACAGTACATGTGGCTCCAGAGGACATTCACTTGCTTTCTCATTCATCCGCCGAGTATTTCCTGAACACCAGCTGTGTGCTAGGCACAGTGCCAATTCAGGGGTGCCATTCTCTAGGAATATTCAGTGCAGAAAGGAGAGAGACAGACCCAGTTCTGACATACATGTGTGCATCATGACAGAATGAACAGAGAGCTCTGGTAATAGCATTAATTGTGTATACATTGAGGTTGATACTTGAAATCAGTTTAAATCATAGTCAGTAGATTGTGTAAAGATAGTTGGTTTTATTTTACATTTAAGAAAATTTAGGTTATATTTCTGCCTCTCTTCAGGTACAAAAATAAATTCCAGATAGATTAAAGATTTAAACATTTTTAATGATTAAATATAAAATTACTAAAAGAAAAAATAGAACAGTTTACAACTGTTGGAAGGGAAAGTCCAATCTTAAAGTAACACCAGGGCCAAAAAGCCATTAAGGAAGTGATTGACACATTTAAATAAATTTAGTTGTAGGTGGCATAAACAACCAGCACATCAAAGGTGCTTGTGAAATTTTCTAGCAGAAAATTGTTTAGATTGAAATACCACATGCTGAAATGATGTTTGAATTAATATGCTGTCATTCTCACATTTAATAACAACATTGAAGATGAGCAAATTGAGTAAAATATTTGATAAAAGGAAAAAATGTATAGAATATACAAATAGCTATTAAATATATAGGAAAATGGTCAACCACAAAACATTTGAATACAGTTTTTTAAAATGAAATATCATTGTGACCCAAGAGAGTGACAAAAATGGCCTGTGCACTGTTAATATAGATGTAATTGGTCCAGTATTTCTGGAGGGTGACCAACCTGGCATTATGTTTGAAAGAGAATATATATTCTCTTTGACTCTATCAAGTCTGGGAAATTATCCTGCAGAAGTAATACTACACTGACCAAAGGTGGTTACTGAATTAGTTTTGAAATAACAAAAAATTGGGAGCTACCTTCATCAGGTGAATCCATGTTAATCTTAAATACGGTAAGGAGACCTCTTAATTGGATTAAGCGCTCATCCTCTGGCACTGATTAACATCTAGTTCATTCCAGGTCTGTTTTTACTTTGTAGAAAAGAACAATACTAATTTTAAAAAACTGGAATACCAGATTATATAGTATATGATCCCATTTATGTAAATATATGCACATGTGTGTGTGTGTATGATATGGGTATATATTTATCTATGTACTGTTAAAAATCTGTAACCGTATTTTATACTACCAGTGTTTTTTAGGGATCATACCATAAATTACACTCCTTTTAATACATACCAAAGTGAGAGAGTTGTTGCCTAAGGGATTGTGAGAGTAACAGGACCATTCCCTTGTAGGGTGTGGATTACATTTTTCATAAAACTCGTATAATCAGAAAAATCAATGAAGACATTTTCTTGTTGGTAGGAAATAATTGAAGGTGGAAATCTAGTAGAAGTTATGTGGCCCTGTTTTTTTAAACTTTAAATAGTGAAAAGTTTGATCACATAGGAAGCATTTGTGTCTCTGTGTTCTTGTGTGAATCAGGTAGAGCCATGCAAGTTGTAAATTCATGACATGATAATATAAGAATAGTGCTGAATTTTAGAATATTGCTAAATGGATCTCAAGAGTTTCACTCTCAAATCTCCCAGTGCCCCAGAATCTAAGTTTATGTCATTGGCTGTCTTGTTTTCCTGCAAGTCCGTTGAAGAAAGTTTCCCTGGCCTCTTTGGAAAAATCAGAAATTAGCAGGGCAGTAGTAAAGGTGGGAAAAGGGGGCAAAAAAAGGAAAAGCGTTAATTTTTGTCTGGTTCTGATTTACATATTTGTGTCTTACAGGCTTATTTCCATCTGGGTGTCAATGAAAAATTAGGACTCTGCGGAAGGCCAGACAGACCTATTGGCTGCCTTGGTACATCAAAGGTGCTCATGAAATTTCCTTATAGAGCAGTGTTCAGATTGTAATACCACAGACTAGAATGATGTTTGACCTGCTGTGCATCCATTTGCACATTTCGTCATACACTTGCCCTAATTATCTCAATTATTATTTTCCACAAGTAAATACTTAGTTTTGTATGATATCATGAACTCTTCTAAAAATAAATACACATCTCACTGTTATTTCCAAGCATAGTAAGATATCTGGTTGTAGTAGTAGTTACTCAGAGGGTTTTTCCATTGCAATAGAGGTGGACTGCTTTATCAGCATACTGATTCAATTAAGAAACTAAAATTTCCTGATATTGTGTAGATTTTATAAGATTATTGGCTTGTTCAAAATAAACATCAGTTTTAATTTTTATTAAGACTGTGTATTGTACCTTTGCCTTTTCGTCTGTTTCGTATATATGTGTGCATGGATATATAAATTTTTTTTACTATCTCTTACAGATTTATCGCATTCTAGGAAAGACTGTGGTTTGTTACCCTATCATCTTTGACCTTAGTGATTTCTACATGTCTCAAGATGTTTTACTGCTGATAGATGACATAAAGGTAGCTTCAGAATGCCTTTTAATCGAATGGGATGATTTTGTTTCTACTGATTTTATCGTATGCTAAATGAAGTGCTCCTGGGCCTATACTACTGGATTAACAGAGTATCAAATATAATTAAACAACATCTGCACAAGGGTTAAACTACTTGCAGCCTTAGAATAGTAGATGTACTCTGTTTTATATAAAGTTGTATGACTTTATTTGTTCTACCTTCTACAAATGGGATGAAAGGATGTATATATTGTAAAAGCAGAGGGGGAACTGTTTTGGAAACTATGTTCATATAACAGTAAGTTTATCTCTCTTTGAACAAAAGTTGAGTTAACAAAATGACTTTATGAAGAATTTCAAATAAAACCTCACCTAACTCATAATACCCACTCAGTTTAAATCTCCCCCATTCCCTTTTCCATTTGCAGAGTAGAGAAGCTTAGAGTCATGTCCCGGAGCATGAAGTTTGGAGCCAGATTTACTGGTTAAAATCTTGACTCCACTGTTTACCAGCTGTGTGATCTTGGGCAAATTAGTTAACTTCTCTGTGTCCCTGTTTTCTCATCTGTGTAACTGAATAGGACTGTCCTGAGGATTAGGAGTTAATATATGCAGAACCCTCAGAATAGTGCATGGTACAGAGTGAAGTGTTATGTATGTGTTTGATGTGATAATGATGATGATAGAAATTGAGTCAAATAAAGAACTCTCCATGTTTCTGATGGTATATATAGATTCAGCCCAATCTCTTCTACCTGCTGTAATATAAATTGTGGAGTGAGAATTAATCTTCTGGATGATAACCTTGGGTTGATTTTCCTTCCTTGAGACCACTCTTGAACTGTATTTGTTAGGCCTCCAAAAAAAAAAACAAACAAACAAGACAACCTTAAGACATGTGTGATCTGGTGATCTGATTATTTGTAAGGACAAAGTTTAAACTCAAAATGATTTCTAGCTTAACCTGAGTGTTATTAGAACATTTCTACCCCTGAGTAGTCTATCTTATCCAGAGTTTGATTGTGAAATTATCTTGATATATAAGTTTTGTTGCCTCTTTGCCGCTAATGGTTAAAGCGTCCTGATCAATTCAGATACTGTGCCATTGCATCCTCTCTCATTCTTATGTTTTAATAGAATGCACTGCAGTTTATTAAGCAATACTGGAAAATGCATGGACGTCCACTTTTCCTTGTTCTCATCCGGGAAGACAATATAAGGTAGGTTGATGAAGGAAGTGAGGTGCATGCATCTCACTGCCGTTATCACTGTGAACCCTTTGGAAGCAGGGCTTCCTTGCATTTTTATATCCATTTCAGAATGTAACAGAGTGGTTTGCATATATAAAGGGCACTTGCTGCTGCTGCTGCTAAGTGGCTTCAGTCGTGTCCGACTCTGTGTGACTCCACAGACGGCAGCCCATCAGGCTCCCCCGTCCCTGGGATTCTCCAGGCAAGAACACTGGAGTGGGTTGCCATTTCCTTCTCCAATGCATGAAAGTGAAAAGTAAAAGGGAAGTCGCTCAGTCGTGTCCGACACTTAGCGACCCCGTGTACTACAGCCTACCAGGCTCCTCCGTCCATGGGATTTTCCAGGCAAGAGTACTAGAGTGGGGTGCCATTGCCTTCTCCAAAGGTCATTTAGTACTAGATTATTAATTTCTCACTCTGTTGTTTATATGCACATTTTATCTGTTTATATTTTTCAGAGGTAGCCGATTCAATCCCATATTAGATATGCTGGCAGCGTTTAAGAAAGGAATGGTTGGAGGAGTTAAAGTTCATGTTGATCGTCTACAGGTAGTCTTCTGAATTTCGGTGTTTCTTTTTCCAGCACAATTAATCCACAGAATCAACTATGTTTCTTAATTATATTCTTTGTAAGGTTTTTGTCTGAATGTTTTATTCTCTATCTACCTTCCTATTCCCGTTGTCACCACCCTGTTTATCTGATCCTTCCAGTCTGATGCTTGAGCAATTGCACTGGTTTCCCGTCAGAATGTTAGACTTTGAAAGGTCATCTCTTGCCTCACTTTTGCATCTGAGGAAGCTGGAGGCCAGAGTGGTGGAGTGACCTGTATAATCTCAGGTTCTTGGACTCCTGGTCCAGTGCTCTTTTCCCTACCCCGCAGTGACATCTAACCTGGAGATAAAGCTTGTTCCATTCAGATTTTACAGCTTTATTTTCACAGCTCCTAAATAACAGAATCCCTTTGTGGTTCCCTATTAGCCATAGCAGCCTCTCTGCCTACAGTTATCTCCTGCTAAACATTCTTTCTGCTTCAGCCAATATAGCTTAATTACTGTGTTCTCAGCTTTTTGAGGTTCTGCCCCTTTCTGCTCAGTCCATTTCCTCTGCCTGGAGTAGCCTCCTTTCTTTCAACATCACTGGGCTTTGAAGTCTTCCCAAACATTAAAGGCGTGTTCTGCAGAATTACTCAGACCAGAGAGGACACTTTTCTTTTTTAATATCCTTTTATGACCATTAACATAAGCTATCCAAATTGTAGTCCATTATGGGCTTAAATTTCTTATTTCCATTAAAAAGTTGTGATCATTTCGTAGTCTTTTATGTGGTAGGTGTACAGTATTGAGTCAGAAAGAGGAAAATTTATAAAGAGGGACCTATGTAAGTAACCTGGTAAATGGCATGTTTACATTCTCATTCACCATTGCTTGTGTTTTGTATACTCAATTGATTTTTATCTAAGTTTTTATCTTTTCCCCTTATTTTTTGTTTTGTCTTTTTGTATGTAATGTTTTCTGGGGCAATTTCCTTGATATTTAGCATGTAGCTCCTCTGCTGATTTTTGTGTTTTAGCTATCTTGTTTTTAATTTTCTCTTTTATAGTATCTTGTCCTTTTTTCTGAATATTACATTTTGTCTTATCCTTCTAAGAATATTAACAGGAGAGCTTTGGATATCTTTCCTTTGTACATTATCTCCGGTTTCTTTTCTCTGTTTTCAGGGGGCTCAGTCTTTCATATTGGAGTCATTTGTCAGCTATCCCTTTATATTTAAGAGTGAAAGAATAAAAAGTTTATTGGAAGCTGTGTGTTTGGGAACAAGGATCATTGTCATGGTGAATTTACTTATAAGGTGGGCTAGTAGCAAGGACCATTTTTGCTGGGGAAAACCCCAGGTGCCAATATCTGGGTGTTTTTTTCTTATGGGTTTTTCCAAGTTCCCAGAAAATAAACATCTTACCTTCTGCTTGAAGGATGTACATTTTGCTTCTGTGTCCTGAGAGCAGAGTTGGGTTAAGCAGCCAGGAGTGTTGCACTGTTCTCTATAGTATCAGAAACATCTCTCATTGAGACACCTGTTTTGCAAGTTGTTGCTTTCTACCAGTGCAGATTCAGAAGACAGTAAAATGGTACGTTATCAGATTGTACAGGATACTTACAACAGCACAGATTATTTTCACGTAGGCAACACAAGTGGCTTAATCCTAACAGCATAGATGCCAGACCATGAGTTTGTACAACACTGCACTTTGAAAGTAGGAATAATGGGTAACAGCTTCTCATCACTAAGCAGTGAAGCCTTTGTTCGTATCTACATCTTGGACATAAATGACAGGTTTCCAATTTTTAATCAATTCATTTATGAGTCTTTCACTTAAACCATTACTTAATCTTTATATCTTCTGCTCTCTGCTGTGCACTAAACCCTTGAGTACAGTCTTAACCAGAGAATAAGCCTCTTTTCATCTTGTAAAACCAAAACACTCTAGCCATTAAACAACCCTTCACACCCTAAAACCAACCTTTGTCTTCTCTTTAGTATAGGAAATGGAAATGACACCTGTGTACTTCTCTGGGCCTTTATTTAAGGCTCTTTCAGATGTCTTCAGCCCATGGTCTATAGTCTCTCTCATCACTGGGCCTCAGCATCACTTCCTAGCTTCATTACCCAGGACATGTCTTCATGCAGTTAATTCTCAGTCCTGCTTTCCACTCCAAGAGTACTGAGTACTTTCCAAATCTTTAATGTGATTTATTTTTTTCCCTGTTCATGCTATTATTCTATTCTAGAACTGCTTTTTTTCTTTTTTTTCCTTCTAAGTCATACTTTAATTTTATAACTTAGATCAATCTCACCTCTTTAGTGAAGTCTCCAAGTCTGGAATTAATTTCTCCTTCCAGTGTGTTTCTGTGGCATTTTCCTTGAGCTTTGCTATAGCTCTTATTTTAGGTAGAACTAGTTTCTTGTGCTTGCTTCCCTGTGTGGATTGAAAACTCTTTATTAGTCCAGGCTTTACTCATCTCTGCATTCCCAGAGTATTCTGCTCACTACTGTTCTCTCGGTAAGAAATATGTAAATATTGGTTCCTTGATTCAACAAATACTTACTGAGTGCCCTCTCTAGACAGTGGAGATATAATGGTGAAAAAATATATACAGAGTACCTGATCTCATGAGACTTATTTTAGTAGGAGAGCAAAACCAAAGATAAGGCCAGATAGGGATTCAGAATAATGGGATGGAGTACAGTCTTTGGTGGTATGTTCAGTTGGAGAGGACCTTGGGGGATATAATTGAATATCATTAAGCAGAATACCTTTTTGAATACTGTATTGCATTTGACACATTTATTTGTAAATATTAAGTTATTTAATTACCGTCAGAGCTGAAGTATTAATGCCTAGCAAAATAATTGCAATAGTTTTTATAAAACTAGCCAAGATTTTATAATACCTACACATGGAGTATAACCTTTAAAAATTACGAATCACTGCATTGTATACCTATAACATATAATATTTTACAACTTTAATTCAATTAAAAAAAATAATCTAGGAGCCTCTGCAACCAACTAAATTTTTTAAATCAAAAACTCTGTAGACTGTTAACAAAATCTAGAACTTTCCTGTTAATTCAGAGTAGCATTTACTTTGTGAGCTGAATTAATGTGTATTATGCATATTTTGTTCATGTTATATCCTTAGTACGTAGCATAGTGCTTGGCATATATGTGTTCAGTAAATATTTGTCTAACAAATTAGTTAGCTGTAGAGCAAGATGTTTAGGGTTAAGTCTGCATCTTAGGAAATACCACTGTGTAGACCTCAGTTTTGCTTGGCACTGCCCTCTGCCCAGACACAGAGTCTTCTCTCAGACCCTAACTGTGGCTGGGCCACATAAAAATGTGCAAATGAGTTGCATGTTTGGCCTTTCTCATTCAGATTCTGCAAGGAGGCTTTAGTATGATTGGTAACATGTTCATTCTGCCATTTGTAGTGGGTATTTGTTGATCATCTACTTTATGAATTTTCACTAGAAGAGAAGGTAGCACAACTCTGGTGGTTAGCCAACAAGAGTAACATTCCCTAAATCCTGTTGTTTCACATTTGAAACAAACAGGAGAAAATAGAGAAAGTAATATATGTAACACAGTTTTGATTAAAGAATTACCTTATTTTTAAAGTAACTATTTATGGCTTGTTTCCTAGCCAGTATATTTCTCACTTTTATCTGACAATTCATCAGATATTTAGAAGTGACACTTAGTGCTAAAAATCATTGTGGGTTATCACTCATTTATACATGAACCACTGACAGCAACTATTATGTTCAAGTTTGGCCTCATTTAGTTTCCTCAAGGGATTCTCTGGTAGCTCGAATGGTAAAGAATCTGTCTACAATGCAGGCAGACCTGGGTTCAATTCCTGGGTCAGGAAGGTACCCTGGAGGAGGGCATGGCAACCCACTCCAGTATTCTTGCCTGGAGAATCCCATGGACAGAGGAGTCTGGCGGGCTATAGTTCATGGGGTCGCAGAGTTGGACATGACTGAGCAACTAACACACACACAATGGGATATAAAATGACCAAATATTGATTGCCAGAATGTAGAGAAGCACTGGCCTAGATAATCAATAACTTCATGATCCTGAAAAATGGAGATTTGGCAGTCTCTTATCATTGGATAGCCTTGGAATATATTCAGTTCAGTCGCTCAGTCGTGTCCGACTCTGCGACCCCATGAACCGCAGCATGCCAGGCCTCCCTGTCCATCACCAACTCCTGGAGTCTACCCAAACCCATGTCCATTGAGTTGGTGATGCCATCCAGCCATCACATCCTCTGTCATCCCCTTCTCCTGCTCTCAATCCTTCCCAGCATCAGGGTCTTTTCAAATGAGTCAGCTCTTCACATCAGGTGGCCAAAATATTGGTGTGTTTCAGCGTCAACATCAGTCCTTCCAATAAACTCCCAGGACTGATCTCCTTTAGGATGGATTGGTTGGATCTTCTTGGAGTCCAAGGGACTCTCAAGAGTCTTCTCCAACACCACAGTTCAAAAGCATCAATTCTTTGGCACTCAGCTTTCTTTATAGTCCAACTCTCACATCCATACATGACTACTGGAAAAACCATAGCCTTGGCTAGAAGGACCTTTTTTGACAAAGTAATGTCTCTGCTTTTTAATATGCTGTCTAGGTTGGTCATGGTAGCCAAATCCAAAGAGTAATTTCACATTATATTTTCTGAATACAATTTTAATATTTCATGTTTTTTTTAAATATCAAATTTTTGTCTTTTAGCACTTTAATACGTTCTGAGTTTTTAATTGAACTTATAAATAAGAGGATAGAAAGAAAAAACATTTCATCTGATTCTGCTATTTATTATAATTCATGAACTTGTAGCTTGATGTTTATGTTCTGTTTCAGTGGGGTTTGTTGTATGTGAAAATCTGTCTGATTTTAGAATGTTCATTTTAAGAAATTACTTAACAAGCATGTCTATTTTTTAAGTAAACTTTTTTAAAAAGTATTGCATACTTACAGAATAGTATGTGCACAAATCATAACGTTATTGCTTGATAAATTTAAGAGTTGTGAATCTTTTCTGAATTGCATTTCAGACACTAATATCTGGAGCTGTGGTTGAACAACTTGACTTCTTACGAATCAGTGAAATAGAAGAGTAAGTTCCTTTAGGTTATTTATTGTGTTTCTTGAGATTACATTAGGAATGCAGGAAATACGAAACTTTTTCTTTTAAATTCTAGGCTTCCAGAATTTAAGAGTTTTGAGGAATTAGAAGTTCCCAAACATTCAAAAGTCAAACGACAAAGCAGCACCTCCAATGCTCCTGAACAGGAACAGAAGCCAGATGTTACCATAACTGAATGGAGAAACAAACCCACCCATGAAATTCTTCAAAAACTGAATGTGAGGAAGATGCAATTCCCACATGACCCTGAGTGAGGTTGACAGAGCAGGAACTGCCAGGGGCAAACCATATTTCTCTTTGTCCTCCCAGAGAAGGTAGCAATTAGCCTGGAAGTAGATGGCCTGTCTATAACTGAGGCGGTAATGAGAAGTAGTTCTCATGATCTAATATTAGCATGAATGTCTCTAAGATGCTTAAAATGGGTTGTCTTGGGTATTGAATATTGAATATCCCATTGAAGAAGCATAGTTGCTTTGGGGATCTCTAGATTTCTCTTTCAGTGCCCTTTCTCCTCTTTTCCCAGTCTGGGCCTTCTCTCCTGCCTCAGTATTTAGGTCATGCTTGCTTTGACTCTCTCCAGTCAATGAAGAAAGCAGTCCTATAACTACATCTATATAAATATTATGTTGGCAACCTAGTATTATCCCTTCCCTGAGGTTATTTGCATTTTAGAGGAGGAGGGTTGAGGATGTATAGTACCTATCAAAGGAAATATAATTCTGAAGGTAGAGCTATAAACACAGTGACATTTTATTGGACTATCCATATTTGAGTAGGCTAAATATATAGCCTGCCATATATCAGTTCTTGTGATTGATCATTACTACCTGTAAATCTATATAAGCATGAATATGATCTAGTAGGCATAAAACATGACACATATAATAAGCAGCCTACACATGTCCCCTTCTTTCATCCTCCTCTCCACAATGGGTCGATAACAATGTGGTCTCCCATTTATGAACAAGTAAAGTCAAAAAAGGAGCAGATAAATGACTTGGCCCAATCTTTCAGAGGGTGAAAACATCAGTGTTAATGCTTATAGACAACATATTTTCTATTCACTACTTATCTTATTTCCTGGAAATTTTGATTATTAAATTCTACTACCCCAGGAAGCCTGCTTGTCTACCCACTGTTTCCACGATAGCTAAAATAAATAGTTGTATAATGTCATCTTATGCCTGGTAATATATCAGTGACATTTAATCTTTTCTCAATTGCATAGCAGAATATTTCGTCTTTGTATCATGAGGTTTCATGATTAGTTACTCCCTTTGGTAATTTTTGTACCCATTTCATTCCAGTTACTCATAGTGATTTATATTTTCAGGACTGTAGTTGTCTGGCTAGCCAAGCCATCCTACTGGGTATACTGCTCAAAAGAGAAGGCCTCCACTTCATCACAAAGGAAGGTAAGAGTATCTAACTAAGAGAACATTTTAAATAAAAAGACCTATTTTAGAGCATATATGAAAAATGCATAATGAACATGCACTAAACTGTTACAAGTTATTTTCTTCTCTAGTAAACCTTTCTTTTTTAATTTTTAAAAGTTAGAAGTTTTTTAAAAGTTTTTAATTCAGTTCATTATACCCCTAGAGTGGAATAGACTGTTTGATGTATGAACTCCTGAATTGCTTTCATGCAGTAATGCTTATTTGTTTGTCTGATTATCTCAATGGTGTTGGAGCCTGGATTCTGCCAGTGACTGTTAGCCTCTGATGACTCCATAGTTGTTTATTGACAGTATCTATTTCACTTTTATTTCTCTGTATGTTTTTAAGAACAATACTGAATCATTATAGCCATAAGAATTAGCTCCTTCATGGTCTGCAGCAGCCATTTGGAATGGAACATGGCATTTAATAGAATTGCACTGTCAAGATTGTTTACGAAAATGTCATTTTTAATTGTGTTTGTGTCCAGTGTGCATTAAGGCTGAAACCCAGTTATCCCTGAAATCTACATTCATATGTTGAGTCACTAAGGAATCTTTGAATTCTCCATCATGGTCTACTTCTGGCATTTTATAATACAGAATAATGTAGGATACATTTCAAGTATTTAATATCTAACTACCCAAAATTTTTGGCTCATCTGAAAGTCCTCTGTCCAATGAGGCATATTGATTTGGTTAGAATTAGAAATTGAGTTGATATTCTAAACAGCAATGTAATTAATAAGATTTATAGTTCTGGTAGTGAACTAAACATAATTGTTTATTCAGGTAAACAATTCAGATAAACAAACTAAGGTCTACTTAGTTTTTACATTATTGTAGCTAAGAGACAACTTTCTTGAGTATTATATGGTGAATTAAATAGTCTTAATATTTTAACTTAATAAAGGCAGAAGAAGAACTCTAAGCAAATTTCAAACAGAATCTTTCCTGTTTCTAATTAATCTTGAAACTCAAAGTGTAAAAAGGATCCCAGTTATATTGAGGACATTTATCAGAATTTATACTTTAAAACAATGGGATCATTAAAAAGCAAACATTTCATTAGGAACTTAGAATTCAGAATGGCTATTTTAGTAGTAGGCTTCCCAGGTGACAGTCGTGGTAAAAGAACCTGCTTGCCAATGCAGGAGACGTAAGAGATGCCAGTTCGATCCTTGGGTCGAGAAGATCCCCTGGAGGAGGGCATGGCAACCCACTCCAGTGTTCCTGCCTGGAGAACCCCATGGACAGAGGAGCCTGCTGGGCTACCGTCCATGGGGTTGCAAACAGTCGGACATGACTGAAGGGTAAACTTAGCATGCACACATGTATTTTAGCAGTGCTTTAAAGTGAAACAATTTGTATAAAATAGTTTACAAAAAAAAAGTTTACAATGAAAATGTCAAGAGAATTATTTTTCAAACCATTTTTTAAGCTTGGGAATAATATTCATCTGTTACTTAGATATTTAAAAGACTTTACATGTTTTAAATCTGTGAAACCTTATATATTAAAAATCATAAGCATCTGCAGAATCTGAATATAATTTTATCCAACTTGCTATAAAGCTATAAAAATAAGTTCAGGGTAAAAAGATAAAGATACTGTTCTTTACCCTTGTTTGGTTTCTGATCCTATACAGAAACATCACAACATTTTTTGAACAAATAAATGAAGAGTTATATATATTCAGAGTCTACAGTATTTTGTTCAATTTGCTATATTCTGTTTTTTATTTTCTGTAGTAAATTAAAATAACATTTTTATTTGTTAAATAATTGATTGTATATTAAGAAAACAATAAATTTCAAGAAATAAAATATTCATCAAAATCATATACTCAAACTACATAGTAACAAGGGCTGGGGACATTTACACTATATTTTTGGGTTACATATTTAATTATGTCAGGCTTTTTAAGGAGAATAAATGTTATGCATTTAATTAAAGCTTTTTTCAACAAAGACTCTATTATCCAATGTCTAGGTACTGTTTCTGATCACATTGAGAGAGTCTATAGAAGAGCTGGCAGCAAAAAACTTTGGTTCGTATTAGCGTCCTTGTCATATGTTTTTTTAATTGTGTTATCATATTCAGTATCCTAAAGATAATGGACCAGTGTTAAAGGTGGCTAGTCATTCTAATTTTTCCTTTTAAGTTCCGAGGTTGCAGCCCTGTGAGTGCCTACTTTCTAAGGATCTGCCTGCATTGCATTTTATCGTGACTCTTCCAAGATATTAAAAGCATGTCTGGGAGTAAAGGCATCTGTAGGAATAGAACCTGGAGAGGATGCACTGGCATGATGTTCTAATGACTCTTTCCTATCCTGCACCTCCTCTGTCGCAGCAAGGTGCTTTAGGTTCTAATTTGTATTTTGGAAACTTGTTCTGTTATATAGGGTCATGAAGAGACCAGTGTTTCGTTTAAACACAAGCAAAATATAATATACTTAGAAGATAGTTCTCTCATGGATTAAGTTTAATGAATCCTAATGATTGTAGTTACTGCATAAAAAGTAACTGATATGTTCTGCAGAGGTAGTCTCTTCCTAGAGACTGAGGAAAACTTAGGTAAGTTGAGCTAAGATTGTTTACATTCACAATGGGATAGGTATGCCTAAATGCATGCCCTCTGCATTTTTGAAGCAATTCTAACAGTTCTACTAGCAGAATCTAACATTTTGGAAATTAATAGTATATAAATATACATATATATATTTTAATAACTCATTATTATCTAATTTTGAAAAAAGAAATCTCAAGAAAGTGTCATGTCATAAGAAACTCCCTTAACTTCAATGAACCTCAGTTTTCTAATCTCTAAAATAAAAGGATTAGACAAAACATCTCTTAGCAGTATTTCAACTCTAATTTTTAGTAAATATACTATTCCAGTCAAGAAGAAATTATGTAATAACCCTGTGGTTAAGTCTCAGATTTTTGCTGTAAGTTCTCAGCACAGTAAGGCATGCAAACAAATAGATGTTGCTTTTTAGTCAGTAAATTTCAAATCTGGTCTATAATCTTCAGTTAAGCAAACCTACTTTTACTTTATGTTTAATACTTGTATTTTAGATAAATCATTAGCAAACATTTAAAGTCCTGACTGTTATGTTTAAAAGAACAAACTCCTGGAAGTTTTATTTACTTTATTTTCCCTTTTATGGCTTTCTACTGACACACCCAGGTTGGCGGTACGCTACGGGGCTGCATTTACCCAGAAATTTTCTTCCTCTATAGCCCCACACATTACTACTTTTCTGGTACATGGGAAACAGGTAACATGCACAAATTGTCGAAACTCCAGCTGCTTGAAATGTGTGGGCTTATTTGCGTTCTCAGGGTTAAATATGTCTTTTGATCGTATAGTGTGTGGGTGAAAGCTTCTCTAAAAGTAGGAAGTGTTTGTTTCACTAACTTTTCAGATATGACTGAATTTTCTACTAGTTCATCTATGTTGAGATTAAGCTACGTGTTTTTTATAGGTCAACTTCCATGGATATCCTGAAATACAAGGAAACACCTTTAAACCTACATTTTTATTTTATTTTCTCCATCTGAAAGTTCCACATGGATTTTTACTTTTGATGGGGGGAAAATGTTTTATGTATTGCATGTGCTGTGCTTAAAAATCTGTTCTTACAGTCTAAGACTTTTTCAGAAATGTTAAAATAGTAGTGTGAATTACTCCCTTCAACATTCTGGCAAGGAAAAAAAGAAAAAAACAACGCTGGTATCTCATTGTATCACTTCCTAAAATTGAGTACTAAGCGAATTCCCTAATCCAGGGATTTGGTTACTAGGCACCAAAGTAAACTTGATTTAAAGTGGTTATAGGAATAGTGTCATGTACCCGTGACAGTCTTAATGATAAATTTTTTAATACAAAATCAGAATAATCAATTCTTCCTCCTACACCATTCCCTGACAAAGGGATAGTTAGACTTCCTTTTCTTTCTCTTTAAGTTGTTAATGGCAGGAATAATGCTGGTGGCAGAGGTGAGGGTTAAGCTATCCCTCCCTAATTCTGGATAGTCCTACAGTCTGGAAGATTTCAGCTGTGAGGTCCAGTGTCTTGGGGTCAGTGTTTCATCCATATTATTAAGTGAGGACCTAATTGTGCAGGTTTTTTAATTCCCCCCACTCAGGGGCCCATTCATTCATCATTTAGATTTGTCAACCTCTGGCGTGCTCTCTTCTTTGCCCCCAGGTCGGTGGTGCGCCATGCAGCAAGTCTTTTAAGTAAACTAGTGGACAGCCTGGCCCCATCCATTACTAATGTTTTAGTGCAGGGCAAACAGGTAAGTAGCTGATTTTCAGACTCTTGGTCACAGTCACAAAGATTTCTGGGTAGGACCCTGGCTTTTAAATCTGGCAAACCTCAGCATCTCTCACAACCACATTTACAGTGGCTCAGGCATTTCTACAGAAGACTCCTTCCCCAAGCAAAATCTAGTCCTCAAGAAGCACAGATACAGAATATCTGTGCTGCACCTTAGAGATTTAATTTTAAGCTCCTGTGTTAACTCGAGATCAGTGAAGATACTGACAAAGAAAATGGTACGACACCTACTCAAGCACTCCAGACAGGCTTAGGATAGGTGGGGCAATGGTAGGCAGTAGTGAAGGGCACATTCTCCTTTTTACTTCACTAGAGCTCTTCTCCCCTTTAGAAATGCATTGGCTCCCCAGATGCCTAACACTCTGGGCCCCCTCTCCTTCCAGGTTCTCCCCTCCCACCAGGGCCAACTCTTGCCAACTCTTCCTCACAGAAAACCATCTCCAGTTAGCAATCCCTTTCTCCTCTGGGTTCTCAAAATAGGCCTGTTACACTTTTCACAGACTGCCCTGGATCCCGGTTCATGTGAATGTGTGTCTCTCACAGGGTAGACCATGAACCCCTGGAAGTCAGGGCCCATGTCTTGTCCAGCACCGTCCCTTTGTGCCCACCATGGTCTTGTAGAGGCACTTGGTGAATGTGGATTGAATTGAGCCTGTGCATGTGGGTATGTGGAGTGGGATATGGCTGCTCATTTTTTGTTTTTTCTGTAAGCTCTAATTACTTGGCTGAATCATCATTTGATTGGAATGAAAAGCTGTGTGCTTTCTATCTCTTCTTTGGGAATATGTGTGCTTTATCATGTCTTCCTGACAATTAACCTAGGGATATAATAAGCTTTAATAATGCAAAAACTTTAACCCTCTTTGATGGAATCAACCCATTGTTCATATCTCAGGGCTCTTAGTTCATTAAAATTGGAATTATTTCATCTTGACATCAAAGTTTTGAAATGTTGAAAGAATAAATGATCCTATTCTGTAATATTTAATAACTAAAAATTATTGTACTAATAAAATTCCTGAGAAAAAATTTAAATCTCTTCATATATATTACTTTATATTTTCATATATATTTCTTCATATATATTATTATAATATATATTATATATGTACATATTTCATATATATTATTATCCAAGTTATTAAAAGAATTTTCATCCTTCTTTATCAGCTAAATAGAACAAGGCACAGGTAGTATCTTATTAGATGCCTTTTCTCATTGCAATCCTCAGATCCAGCCACAGAGTTCTGTATTTTTGCCTTGGACTGAGCCACCTCTTAAAGAAAGTAAACAGGCTTTGGGAAGCTATTTTTCCTTAGATTTTAGGCCCCTGTAGTATATCTGAAAGTACAGTTAACTCTGTGACATATGAATGAATGAGAAGGTTTTGGAGATCTCTGAGGTCACTGGCATCTGGCAGTTGGAGAGGGTTAGGGAGATTACAGTTGGTCATGTCCATTCTGTGCACTATCTAGAGGGTGATTGCTGCCTATGATCCTGAGACTCTGTTCCCCAGATCAAAATCTTAGCGCTTTGGAACCTATCCTGAGGCTGTGACTGGACTGTTGTCCACCAGTGGACTGTTGGACTGGTGGACTGTTTCCCAGGGAAACAGTCAGTTACAGAGTTGGGTACCTGAAGGCTGACAGCCCTGTTCCAGGTGTACGGAGTCTATTCACTGACTGCATCTTAACCTTTTTAAAAGAGGAAGTGAAAATGGAGCATCCCGAGTTTGCATTTGCTCATTTATGAAATGCCACCCTGAGAACTGAAGTCATGCTGCTTCTACACTTCTGCACTTTCAGATCACCTCAAGCTCTCTGGAATGAAATAGTGGTTTAGTCATCATTGCTTCCTTCTGTTTGTTTTTTTCTTTACAAGCTGACATTTTAATAAAAGTAATCGCACTTGGACTAACTGGTTGATACCACTTGTGTTGCAATAAACTAGCAATTCTTAGTTTTTAGTCCATCACAAAATTGGGGCAGAAGACCTCTATTCTGCTTTCTCCTCTCATGTCAGAAAACACAAGGACTCTTTGATATCTTCTTCTTTTTCCTGCCTCTTTTAATTGTGCCCTGTGCAAGGAAGAGAGAGGAAATGAGGAGGAAGGAGGGAATGCAGACTCTTCTGGGTGGCAGAGTACTAAGACAAGAGGAGAGAGGGGGAGCAGAGTATTTATTCCTCTTGCCTAGCCTCAACAGCACTTTTGGCTTTGAATTTTCTTTGCCATTTCCTCTGTGCTTTCTCATTTCACCGGCTTGTGGGCAGCCTTATTTACTCCCCTCCACAGGCCAGAGATACATCCAAAAGTGTTTCAGCACTCACTGGGTACCTGACTCTGCCAGGAAAAGTGGGTCTTCACTACAACTATGTCCTTGTACCTACCTTTGAAAAAGTTACAGTATTGTTAAAGAGCAAAAACTTCCACATGAGAAACTGTAAAAGAAGTGAAGAACATACTCTCAAATACCAAATTGTATAGACTATGCACTAAAGTAAAACTGTTTTCTCTGAGGAGTTTCTGGTCCTAAAGTCATTCAGAATAATTTTGTCTTAATAGTTATTTATATTCCTTCCCTGCTTTTATCCACTCACCTTCATTCCCCCTAGCTGGGACCCTCATCTGCCCTTGTATTTTAGATGAGACTGAACCATTATGAACTCCAATGGGAGTCATGCTTTGAAGGCCATTTTAATAAATAGCAGGAGCAGTTATTCTACCTAATTCCCTAGCTTGCATAGAGTAATTTCAGCCTGCCAGTCATCCTGAGCCTTGAATTTTTTTCTTTATCTATTAGTAGCTAGGAAATTTTTACAATAAAATTCTGCCACCCATAGGTAACTCTGGGTGCCTTTGGGCATGAAGAAGAAGTTATCTCTAATCCTTTGTCTCCGGGAGTGATTAAGAACATCATCTATTACAAGTGTAATACCCATGATGAGAGGGAGGCAGTAATTCAGCAAGAACTGGTCATCCATATTGGCTGGATCATCTCCAATAACCCAGAATTATTCAGTGGCATGCTGAAAATACGAATTGGGTGAGTAAATACTTTGCATTTGCATAAAGAGAATTGTTCAGGTTGTCCTCAGTCTCTCTGAATGAAGTGCTGCCTCAGATCTGATGGGTCTTTAGGAAAGTGTTTCTTCCCCTAAGTCATAGAGAAAACATCTGGTGATATGAAGAAATAAATACTAGTGGCCTGAAAAATGTCTGTTGTTTATCTGACTCCCATATGAGAAGTAGTGAAGTAACTCTGTTCTCTGATAAAATCAAACACAAGGAGGTTTAAACAGTTGTATCATGTTAAAAAAAAAAACAAAAAATAAACAGATTCCCCCCCCCACTATGCACAATACTTGTAAAAATTCCTATAAAGTGAATAAGCCTTAAGAGTAAAATGATTTTTTTAGTAAAGCTAGATATCAAAAAGACACACTTAGATAAAAATTTGTTCCTTTTAAGAATATTCTTCTGCATCTGTTTCCTACCAAAATCTGATTTTTAGTCCTTAAAATCATAAGTGTTCTCTTTGGAGAAATTGAAAGTAAGGCTCTGGTGATCTTGAATGTTCTTAATCAAGCATTTTGTGAGGCAGCACAGTAAGGTCTGTGACCAGGCTCTGACATCTAGCAGAACTGAGTGCAAGTCCTGACCTGTGCTCATCATCTCAGTACTCTGGGGTCAATTGGCTGAACCTCCCTCCAACTTTCACTGTTTTATGTGAGGTGAAACAAGGTAATATGTTTAAAAAGCCTATAACAACTGCATATAAGTCCTTCTTTTCATTTTTTAAAACATTTTTGTACAAATATCACATAAATATGTTCTAATTGTAAAAAATCAAGTAATACTTGAGCATATAGAGTAACCTAGTATATGGCCAATTTGGAGATTGTTCTTCAAATATTTGCAAAGATTATGTATCCTAGCCACAGCAATCAGACAAGAAAAAGAAATAAAAGGTATCCAAGTTGGAAGAAAAGACGTAAAATTTGTCACTCTATGCAGACATGTTACTATATAGAGAAAACTCTAAGGACTCAATGGGCTTCCCTTGTGGCTCAGATGGTAAAGAATCCACCTACAATATGGAAAACCCAGGTTCAGTCCCTGGGTCAAGAAAACCTCCTGGAGAAGGGAATGGCTACCCACTCCAATATTCTTGCCTGAAGAATTTCATGGACAGAGGAGCCTGTGAGCTATAGTCCATGGGGTCACAAAGAGTCAGACACAACTGAGTGACTAACATACGTACACAAGGACTCCACAAAAATTACTAAGTCTAATAAATGAATTCAGCTAAGTATCAAGATACAAGATTAACATTCAGGGATTGATTGCATTCATTTATACTAACAATGAAATATCAGGAAATGTAAAAAAAAAACAAAAAACACAACCTTTTAAAATTGCACCTCCCCCAAAAATAAATAAATAAAATACCTAGGAATAAACCTGACCAAGGAGATGAAAGTTTTATACACTGAGAACTGCAAAACATTAATAAAGGTGATAAAAGAGGACTCAAAGAAATGGAAGAATATCCCATGCTCTTGGATTAGAAGAAATAATATTGTTAAAATGGCAATACTGCCCAAAGCAATCTACGGATTTAATGCTATTCCTTATCTAATTATCCATGACATTTTTCACAAAACTAGAACAAATGATACAAACATTTATATGGAACTATAAAAAATGCAGAATTTCTAGAGCATTCCTGAGGGGGAAAAACACATACCTCCCTCAGACTTCAGGCAATACTACAAACCTACAACAATCAAAACAGTATCATATTAATACAAAAACAGGCAAGCTGATCAGTGGAATAGAGAACCCAGAAATAAACCCACAGTCAATTCATCTTCAACAAAGGAGGCAAGAATATAAAATAGGGAAAAGACAGTCACTTCAGCAAGTGCTGCTGGGAAAGTTGGACAGCTGCATGTAAATCAGTGAAGTTAGAACACATCCTCACACCATGCACAAAAGTAAATTAAAAATGGCTTAAAGACTTAAACATAAGACATGACACCACAAAACTCCTAGAAGAGAACATAGGGAAAAACATTCTCTGACATAAATTGTACCAATGTTTCCTAACGTCAATCTCCCAAGGCAATAGAAATAAAAATAAATGGGACCCAATCAAACTTCCTTTGCACAACAAAAGAAGCCATTAAAAAAAAAAGGAAAGACAGCCTATGTAATGTAATGGGAAAAAATATTTGCAAATGATGTGATAAACTAGGGCTTAATCTCCAAAGTGTACAAAGAGTTCATACAATAAAAAAAACCTAATCAAAAAATGAGAAGACCATAATAGACATTTCTCCAAAGAAGACATACAGATGACCAGTAGGCACATGAAAAGATGCTCAGCATCACAAATTATTAGAGAAATGCAAATCAAAACAAAAATGAAGTACCACCTCACATTGGTCAGAATGACCATCATTAAAAAGTCTTACAAACAACAAATGGTGGAGAGGGGGTGGGGAAAAAGAACCTTCCTACATTGTTGGTGGGAATGTAAGTTGGTACAGCCACTGTAGAAAGCAGTGTAGAGGTTCCTGTGAAAACTGAAAATAGAATTATTAATACCATATGGTCTAGCAATCCCACCCCTGGGCATATACCCAGATGAAGGTATAATTCAAAAAGATACATGCACTCCTATGTTCATAGGCTCATTGAAAAGAACATAGTGAGTCTCTGTCAGGCACAAATACATGTGATTGTGTGTGAGTGTGAATAAGTGGGAATACAGTGTGCTAATTTTGTGATTAAATCAATATATTTACTATTTCTGTCCTACTTGACCTTCAATTGCTAATAAGGTGTTCTCCTGATTATGAATGTGTCAATTTCCCCTTGCATTTTTATCAGTTTTGCTTTATATATTTTAATGCTTTGTTTTTGTTCATGTTACCTTTTAATGATACCTTTTAATGATACAATTTTGCCTGTGTCATTTATTTTCTAATTGAATTATTTTTAAAAAGTTATTTTTAATTTCAAACATCTACAAAAGCATAGAAAATAGTGTAATAAAACCCATACTATTACTGAGCTTCAACAATATCATCATATAGCCAATTTTATTTCACTCATACCTCCCTACTACTCATCTCATCCACAGTCTCCTCTGATTCCATCATATCATTTAATCTGTAAATACTTCAGTATGTATCTCTAAGACATAGAGACTTTTAAAAAGCATAACCATGGTCCCATTACAATTGTATAAAATATAACAAATGAATTCCTTTTGTTTAATGTTACTACCATATTACTTTTTGTTTAATATTACTTCTTTCTTTTTTCATTGTTATTAACTTGGTATACTGTTTTCCATTTGTTTACCTTCAGTGTTCTTTTTTCATTTTGATTAGGTATGTCTTTTATATTGCTCTATTTACTTTTAATCTAATCTGAGATTATCTTGTAATAGAAATATATATGTCATATTTTTGCCATTTCATTTCTATTTTGACTTATTCCTGCCATTTTATTTTGTTTTCTAATTACCATGCTTTCTTGTTCTTACTTTTTTCTTTTTTCTTTCTTCTTTATTGCTAGGTTGATACCCTTTCATTTCTTAGTTTTAATTTTGCATGTGAGTATGAAGCACTTTATGTAAAATAATCACCCATTTTATTCCTTCAGAAGATTTCATTAAAAACTAGTTGCTTTGGGGGAATTATTTGCATGCCTCTTTTATCAATAATTCTCATTTTTTAAAATTTAGACTTACTTAAGAGCAGTCTTCATTTCAGCCTTGTTTGAAATAGTCAAACACTGAGAATAACAGATATCCATCAGTAAGAAATAGTTCAAATAAGTTGTTAGTCATATAATAAAAGGTTTTGCCACCATTATAAGAAACAAGATAAGGTTAATACACTGGCATTTATGGATTGCTGTTATTGTTCAGTCACTTAAGTCGTGTCTGACTCTTTGTGATCCCGTGCCTGGACTGCAGCATGCCAGGCTTCCCTGTCCTCTATTTTCCAGAGTTTGCTCACGTTCATGTTCATTGAGTCAGTGATGCCATCTCACCATCTGATCCTCTGCTGCCCTCTTCTTTTGCCTTCAATATTTCCTAGCAACAGGGTCTTTTCAATGAGTTGGCTCTTCACATCAGGTAGCCAAAGTATTTGAAGCTTCAGCATCAGTCCTTCCAGTGAATATTCATGGTTGATTTCTTTTAGGATTGATTTGTTTGATCTCCTTGCAGTCCAAGGAACTCTCAAGAGTCTTTTCCAGCACCCACAATTTAAAAGCATCAATTCTTCAGTTCTCAGCCTTCTTTATGGTCCAACTCTCACATCTGTACATGACTACTGGATAGACCATAGCTCAGACTCTATGGACCTTTGTCGGCAAAGTGATATCTTTGCTTTTTAACACACTGTTTAGGTTTGTCATAGCTTTCCTTAAAAGAGGCAAGCATCTTCTAATTTCTTGGCTGTAGTTATCATCCACAGTGATCTTGGAACCCAAGAAAAAAAATCTGTCACTGCCTCTACTTTTTCCCCTTCTGTTTGCCATGAAGTGATGGCATTTATAAGTATCCAAGATAAATTAAGTGAAAAAAGTTGCAAATTTTTTCCATTTTTTTATCAAATTATTGTGTGTATGTGTGTGTGTGTGTCTATGTGGAGAAATATATATAAAATCACTGTCAGTTATTCTGTGTGAGAGATTTCTACTTTGTAAGTTGTGTTGTTCAGTTTTATTTAAATTATTTTAGTTGAAGTTATTAGTTTTCAAACTGTTTGCCTAATTTCAATTAGAGTATATTTCAGATGAGCTTCCTATTCTTTATCTCTTCTTTCTTTTGATTGAGAAGTGAACTCATTCTGCATAGAGTTTGATCTGCCTTTTTACCCCTTAAAATAGTTCCTTTCATATATTATTAATAGGATGTATTCCTATTAGTTATAAGAACTGTGAATTATATCCTGATTGTTCAGTCTCTATTAGCTCTAAAATTTTCCACTTCAACTTTTGTCTACATGTGAGGATGCAGAA